AAAATCAAGCCAGCAGTTATTTCTTGATGGCTGAACAGCTTCACAATAGGAACATTTTGCATTGCTTCAATAAATATACTATAATTATTGTACATAAAAAAAACAGCAGATTCAACAACAATTTTGAAGATTTAGTTGATTTTATATGGAATGACCCAAAAAAACAACCTTTAACCTTTGCTAGGTTCTCAAAAATGGTTCACTACATGTTTCTCATTCAGCCATTCAGGGACATACAAACGGTAGCAGATCTGCCCCAACTTGTTTTGCCCAAGAGCACTTTAAGACTTGAGCTACGGCCAAAACATGAATGGTAACTGTCACAGACTGAGATCAGCAGTTAACATTGAACACAGAAGCAGTCTTAGATTGACCATAAAATATCTAATACAAGTCAAACAGAGGACGTCGTCTCTAAATGAACTGATCAAAAGTAACTTCCACAAAATACTAGACCACTTTTCCACTTTAACATTAGCAAAAAAACAAAACAAAACACACAAACCTGTTCTTCTAATATGGTTTGTATCAATTTCAGGAGTTTATTCCTTTTCTTGTCCTTTATAATGCTCAACTTGCTTCCAATCAATAAACACTAGGGGCTTCATTTTATTATTCTATCCACCCAGATGTGTTGCCTACAGAGCTGTACGCTCCATCTCACACTAAACACGGCGTCTTTTCTTAGCCGAGTCTGCATTTAACCTCAAGCTTAATCTGACGCAGCAACTTTTGTTTTTTAAAAATGAAAAACTACTTATGAGGCAAGAATTGCATAATGACGAGGGTGCAACAGACGTGCTAAGCCAGTGGTCTATGACGCCGAGTGACAGCAGTTTTCTGCTCTACACCTGTCGTTCTATTTCAGGAGAAACACTATTTCAGAAAGTGCTGACAGAACGACATGAGTGCGAGCTTGTGCACACACAGACACGGTTTACACCCTCCACCTTTAAAGAGCTCCAAGAAATGTACACTTCCTCCAAGAACACTGCTGAAACACGTCAATACGCACATATTCTGTATTAGAGTTTCAGGAGACCTTGTTTACGGCCGTATTCAGTTTTTACTGACTCTTAGGAGATACTTGGCTTCTGATCTGACCTTTAAGTAAAAACATTTTTTTCCTCTCTTTGGTTCCTAAAAGCATCACATTGTGTCTACCGTGTGACCTTTACCAGCTGAATCCATTCACATACCCCCTGTGCTCTCACCACATGTACCACCACCTGCCACCCAGGTGTCTCCTGAGTGAGGATTTCACAAGCTGACCTGCGTGTGTCGTCGTGGTAACGCTACCTGGTTTCCCCCGGCGTTGTGACATTCATAAACGCCCACCACGCCGTCTGCAAAGTGGCCCAGGGTGTCCAGGCAGTTTCCTCCCTGCTGCAGGGCTCCGAAAGCGATGTCCTGGTGATCTGGGACCCTGAACACACGCAGAAAAATCTATTAAAATGTTCCTGTTTTATTAATCAGGAGGACACAGCGGATGGCATCGCTAAAGAGGGCAGAGAGTAGGTGAGGGATAATGAGAGAGCTGAAGAGAGAAGTGTGTGTTTCTTCTGACAAGGAGGACAATGCAGCTTTTATATTTGTGCGACCGAAAATTATTCAGATTTAGATCCGTTACATTCATACTTTATTAAACTCATTCATGTAAGTGACAAATTGCAAACCTGCCAAAATGTAATAATGTGCTTGAATCATAACTGCTGCTAATGGTTAGTCATTAGTGTCACTACAGTCATTTGAGAGTCTTATTGAAGTGTAAAACATTATAGCCGAGCACACAGGAGATCACAGTCGCACTGCGACTCCTGGCTGAGCTGTCGTCTCTTACAAACTCAGCTCTGGTTCAAGTTCCTAAATGAAATTCATCTCTCGTTATATATTACACTATATTATCATATTACCAAAAAAAAACAAGAGAGATTTTCTTACCTCAGTTCGGGGTAGACGTTCTCCAGGTACCATTTAAAAGGTTTGCAAGCTAATCTCTTCTTCATCTCCAAGCGACTCTGGATACTGACAGAGAGAAAGAGACAGTGAGAGAAGAGTCCATCACTTCTAGTTTTTTATATTTCTCTAAAGTTCGATTGAATTATAGCCCTCGTCAGTCATCCTGTAAGGGCCAGGGGGGTGGAGGCCCAGGGCATGTCTGAGGCTACATCCTGTGGGGAAAATAACTGCTTAGACTGGCACTGGAGGGGAGATGCCAAGTATGTTCCCACAAGGTCGCATAATAAGTATTTTTATCGTTGTATGGTTACACTGTATGAATGTTAAAGCGCTCGTTGCTGTGTTGACTTCTGTATTTGGGCTACGAAGCAGCTGCAGGCAAGAGCTAGTATGTAGATAAGGTGGAAAAAAACAACTCAACTAAATCAATAAATGGAGTCGTACAATGTGTTAACACGTGTTCAAACCTGCCCTGCTGCAAAGTCTGCAGGCGTCGTCCTCTGGAGGACATGAATGTTAAACCATCCAATAGGTTTTGAGGTATTTTTTCTTTAAAACGGTGGACGACTGATATTATAATCCCCCTGAGCCACGCCGCCAGCACGGCTAACAACAAATCCTGTTTTAATATCTCTCTACACATTTCAATTAGCTTTGCTGTCTGATCCGCGCCCCTCTTTACCAGTGCTATTTGTGTCCATCATGTTCTTTAGCTTTGGCGCACGCTGTCACTGATCTCCCTTTAGGACATCACATAATGTGGCAGCCTTTGAAGGCTCTGACTTTTTGCCTTCTTTTGAGCCTCATTAACTGCCTCATGTCACTTTAATACAAAGGGAAAATGACATCTTTTACAGCTGACATACTTTTAATTGGCAATACAATTAATATGCCCATTCATGTGGCTGCCTTTGTAATTTTATGATCTGGCTACATCGTTATGTCCAGCTCCTGCAGGGACAATATTTCACGGCACTCACTTTCCGTAAGGGACATTTCTCGCCGAGGGGACGGCAGCATAGTAGAAGTTTTTGTACTCGTCCATCCACACCTCTGCTGCTCTCCTCGTGTTCCTGAGAGAGGGGCGAGAAGAAGAAGAAAAATAAGGTGAGGGACAGGGAGACAATGGAGAGAGGTGTGATGGAAGATGGACAAAGGGAGACATGAAATAGGGTGAAAATTAGACCAAGAGTAGGTGAGGAAAAGCAAGGGGAGAGAAAGAGTGGAACAGAGTGACAATTACAGAAGGGGAGAAACAAGTACGTGTCAGACTGTAGCTGTGTTAGATGGGAGCTACGGCCAGACATAACCGGTCATGTCCAAACTGGACACGCTGTGTGTGTGGTTGTGTTTGAGACACAGCACGACAAAGACATGCACACTCACGCACTTGTACACCTCTACAGCCATAAGAGGGCAGAGTTCTACTGGCTACACACGTGAATGTCTTTATTTTTCCAGTTACTGCAGTCATTGGTCAATAGAGTGTACGCTGCCAAGCGAAGCAAAGTGCTGACATGACGTCCTGTGACACTGTGCCCAATTTTTATTTTTCTGGTGATGTAACAGCCTACTGTCAGACCGCGTGTCAGCTGGTGTCAGTGTAAAATACGATTTGTTCATGCGAGCGTTCTGCAGCAGGGTTTCAAAGTCTGACACTGTTGGCCGTCGCTCCGAATGAATCAGGACAAATGAGGTGTAAATTGTTGCATTCGGGTGCTTTCAAAAGCACCTTAATAGACTGAGTGAGCTGTGTGGCACTGAAGCAAGTCTCCCAGTTTGGAAACGTCAGGACCATAACTAGTTTATATTGGCCTGACTGATGCTGGAGAACACAAACACAGAGTCAGATAAGCGCTTTAATTAATTTATTGGTGTTATTTGTGGGAACGTGAGCTGCTGTGCTTCATAAAATACGTGTGCCTCATGAAGCAGGGTGAGTTTCCTGCACAACTGCAGTGTGAGATGCAGTAAAGCTCTTCAGCTCTGAATAAAAAGGTGTAAACTCAACACTGAATCCAACTTTTACTTCTCTCAGCACAAGACAGGTTGCTTACAGATGGAACAACTAGTTGGTTAATCACCAGTCATTCTGGTCATCATTGGCTTGTTTCAGCTTCTAGTTGGTAATGACTTGTTGTCTTTTGTAATAGTTAACTCTTTAGGCCCTGGGCTAGTTTTTCCAACTTAAAGTGAAAAAAACAGCCACAACATTGTCGGCCCATGAAATGTCTGTGGATTGGAGGCACTCGAAAGAATTTTGAAGCACAACAAGTCGTTATATTCTTATCATCAGGTCAGCGAGAGATTTGAAAAACTCTAGCTAAAATAACATTTTTACTTCCGCTGGATCAAAACCATAAATCTGAGTCAATAACAGCCTGATAATGATGAGTCAGTGACACTGATGCTATTGAACCAGTTCTAAATATTCTCATCTGCAGCCCAATTTTAGTTGTAGTTGTTCTACGTGGCCACTTCACTGAATGTGTCATGCTTGGCAACCTTTTGAAAAATGGCAGCAGTTGCAAGTTTTATAACAGATACAGGCTGCTCCCGTTACACAGACCTCCAGGGTGACAGGGGTTAATGTCAGTCCCACAAAACAAGCAATCCAAAGATGTCACCTCAGTATTTAGTATGGTCTCATGTGAGTTTAAAAAAAAAAAATCTGACATTTTTTTATTCATTTCCCTTGGTTGTCATGCTGTTTATTTAACAGATGGACAGTGCACAATGCATGCATTGAACCAGGTGCAGCTAAAAGCTATGACAGCTATAAAGTCTGTCCCTGAAAGGAGGTCATTTGTGGAGGTGGTTAAAACATTACGTTTTGAAAATTTTACAATCAGAGAAGAAGAACAGACACCACCGGGGAGTGCACTGTTATTAATCTACGCATCATTAAAGCAAACTCCTCAATCAGGAAACTAATCAGACTAAGTGAAGATAAAAATCATTGTCTGCTGCAGCCTTAAACTCTGGAGAGGTTGTAAGTGGGACAGAGATGAGAAACTGTGAGGACCTGTGATTCATGATTTGGGCAGCTGTGGCAGGTTGGTCATTGATCGGAAGGTCGGCGGTTCGATTCCGCCCTGTAACCTGTGTCATGGTCGTTGTGTCCTCAGGCAAGACACTTCAGCCACCTTGCCTGGTGTGAATGTGTCTGAATGGATTGTTTGAGGTGGCAGGGCAGCTGTGGCTACAATCGTAGCTACCACCACCGGAATGAATGCGTGTGAATGAATAATCGACAGTGTATGTGCTTTGAGTTACTCCTTGAGTTAGAAAAGCGCTATATAAATCTATAAATCTAATCAATTATCATCATCATCATCATCACCATCATCATCATCATCATCATCATTATTATCATGAAGTGTAGACATGTTCTGGGGCTGACAGGAAACACATCTTGTACCTTTGAACCTTTATGAACATTTGAGGAAAGCTGCCTTCAGCGCTCCTGTCTGGAGCGTTGGACAAAAAAACAACTACAGCGCCTGCATTTAGCCTTTTGCAATCTGTAGAGGATGTAAATTCCAACACTGAGGAGCACTTCTGTCTTGGTGACATATTTCCAGATGTTTCTGAGCGCAGCACGTTCTTACTGGACGAGAAGCCTCGAGACGATCCGCTCCGGCATCTTAAGGTCAGATGTTGCAGCCAGATGCCATTTCAGTACTTTAAGGATTTATGAGTGATCATTTCCAACGCTCAGTCCTGCTTCCTCTCCGCAGAAATGGCTGCATTTTTATCCTCACCCACCTTCGGCCCGGCATTAGAGACACAGGATGACATTTATTTAGGTCTACTGGGGCTCTTCTTCACATTGATTGTAAGCTGGTCCTGTGTCAACATGCCCATTATAACTTGGCGGTGTTGGAAATGCTGCTCCCAGAAGAACCATTATAATGTCATCCCGGCACACAAAACAGGTGCTGTCTCCAGCTCCCCAGAGTCACGGCCAGCAGCCACAGAGACGCTGCCGGAGACTTTATTCAGGCCGAAGGGCAACACGTTGAACCGAAGACGCCTCAAAGCACAGATAAAGCTGCTCTGCACTGAGATGGAGGAAGAAGCAGCTGTAACTATCAATTAATAAGTCATGTCCTGAATTGTTGGAAAGGGTTACGCAACTACGTGTGAGACCGTAGTCAGATTTATATAACTGGTGGAAACATAGTAGGATTGTAGGGCGCGGGAGGGGTCGAAGCTCTGTTTGATCTAAAGCTCACGCAGACTTCTTTGTCTGGGGCTTCATTCATTCAGGAACATCTACGACATAGTTTAGAAGCACTGGTCAAGCAATAAAACACAAGATCGCTTCCGTTACGCGTGGCAGGATTAATCCCTACATCTCCAGCTGTCATGTCCTGCAGCTAAATGACAGCGTCTGCCGGCGAAAATCCGTCACTAACGGCCTCGAAATGACTGTTTCCGTCCCCAATTTAAGATAATGATTCCAAAGATGCTCTGCTCGTTCATTTATAATGCTCCTCATTTCTTGGTTTTCCCCCCTTTGCTTCACACATCATTGGGAAGACCAGAGAACCCACAGCCATTTTAAATTCCCTGTTATCTGTTTGTTGATCCACCCACATGTTCTTAATCAGGACCATGAGGGTTTGTTTGCTCGGCTCGTTTCCAAGGGTGGTTACTTGTGGTCGGAGACTGTTTTCAAAGGACAGATCCATATCTTTCCACGTATCATGTTGCTCCCCCATTAGCGGCGCGCAGTGATTATTTATATTGTCACGTTCGCCAGAGCTCCGAAGGGCAGCACACGCAAGGACAGATTTTCCATATTTAAAAACGGCTTTTCTTTCCAAATCTGACGGCAATTTTCCCTGTGATTACTTTTTTATTGTATTTTAACTGATGGTGCTTTGTTTTAATTATCCAATGCTGGTTCTCAGAGCTTTAATAAAACTCAATTATGTATGTTCGGTCATTTACAAACTGCAGCCACAGAAAATAATTCACTCTGCAGCACTTGAGGTAAATACCTATACGGCGCAGAAATCAGAGGTGATTTAATCGTAAGTAGTCAGATGGAGGGTGAAACCCCAGTAAAAATATAAAAAGCATCATTACAATATACTGGCAGAGCACCTTGACATTAGACACGGCAGTAAATTAAATGTCATTTAAAGTTATAGCTGTCATAAAATGATGCAGCTTAAACATTAGATTTAGTGAAGACTTGAAAATTGTCTTTCCTCTCAACGCTTAAGATTTCTCAACCATGCAGGCTTCAAGTCAAGACTGGAGGCTCATTCTCGACTTTAAATCTCACACCAAGGTCCACTTAAGTCCGGAGCTTTCAATCATATCGTCTGAGCTCAAAGGGACAACTCCTGCGCTGACCAGGATCAGATGCGATAACACTAAAAAAAGGCCCAGAGCGGCCAGTCAACGGACTTTGTAATGAGATTATTGTCTTAACTGCTGCTTCTCTAGTTAAGAATGGAATCTGCTTAGTCAGCGTAAACATCCTCATTATGTAATCTTAAAAATCAGCAGTGCACTGAAACTGTCAGTACCTGTGAATCAAAAATACTAATCTCTTTTTTTTTTAAATTTGGTCTGTAAAGAAGCTTTTCTCTACTCCTTCACTTTTGGGACTTTTGTGGGAGGGCCAGTCTATGACATCAGAACTTTACAAATGTTCATATTTGCTCTACAAACGATGATAATAAGTGAACAAAGCATTTCATCCAGGACTTTTATCCAAAGCTCTCGCACAATTTTGGTCCGTATGCACACGGAACCTTACAGCTGTTGACAGAACGAGCACTAAACTGTTCGCTCTGTGAAAAAGACCTGCTGCTGAGCTTCAGTCCATAAATGATAAACACAATAAGAGCAATCTCGTTGGTTTATGAGCGTTCAACCCTCCTGGTGTGTTACCTCGCAAACACCGTCCCGCTGCCACCAGGGAAGGTATACGGATGTTGTTTTCTGAAGACGTGGCCGACTCTGCTGCAGGGGATGATCTCCAGACTGCCTCCACACTGCCACACACGGAATGAGATCTCTACAACACACAAACACACGGAGGGAAAGTCAGTTAATCATTACAAGTGTTAAGACCAGTGGTAAAGATAATTCGGGACGTCTGCACCGCGTGAATGTTTGCGGCGTGCAGATATCTGGTCCCCCTCTCCAGCATTGTGTGCGTTTGAGTTAAGCGTCGTCTAAATGAGCACACGAGCAAACCAGTGTCTGAACTGTCAATCCACTTCTGATTCATTGTACCGCCTCGAGAGGAGCGTGAATCACTCTGTCAGCTGTTTATTCTTACCCATTTCCCAAATGAATTCAGACAAAAGCGACAAGGAGACACAGCTGCTATTATATCACTGTACTGCCTGCAAATGATCTCTATTGTCTCACACTACTGTTATTTTCATTCGGCGCTGACTCTAATCGTTATCACATTACTGCTGTAATTGTGGGAGATCAACTGTACTGTGGAGGACTCTCTCTACCCCGATACGACGGCCAAATCACTGAAGGATTTTCTATTTATCATGCTCCTGGCACGAAAACGCAGATGATCTCATGAGTTGATCAGAGCGTGAGACAGATCCGTGGAGCTACTTTAGTACAGAGTCTCGCAGGAGAGCGGCGATTTCGTAAATGGGCAGGAATATGTGGTGTTCCAAGCCCAAAGCACAGCATTTATGAGGGAAAGAAATGACATTCATATCTGTGTGAGACTTAAACTCACTCTCCAGTCACTGATCAAACCTTTAAAAACTCATCTCTTTGTATCAAACTCATAATTTTTATTCATTTTTTGTAAAATAAAAAAGTAATCCTTTCCTTCTTTAAACTGGCTTAGATGTAACTCAACACTGTGAAGATCTATACAGTCCCTTCTTTTCTCTTCACACAGCCCTCCTCGCGTGCTGCAGCTGGAGCACACCAGCTCACCCATGACTCTGCTCAAACACAGTAAAAGTAATACTACTACACAATGGCACAATATTTGAGTTATTCACCCACATATGTTTAAACCAGAGACCAATTCTGAGGAACAGCGACAGAGAACGCTCCAGCCTGCCAGCTAACAGGATTAGATTTGTTACGTATAAAACCCAACAAGTCTAAGTCCATGTTTTTGAGGCTGATCTTGGCCTTCTGCAGATTAAAGATGGAAACACTCAGTCATGGAATCGACTGCCTATTTTGTCTTAAAGCATATAAAAAAACAAACACCATGTGGACATGTTAACAAAGTGAAAAACTTTCCTTTGTCTAAAAAAGAAAAAAAGCAGTTTACCATTTTGGGAAATGCAACCATTCGGTTTCCTGCAGTGAACTAGATGAGAATCTCACGCCTGTTCGCTGCACCAAGCTCCATCTCAAGGAGCTTTTTGTACCACATTATGCTAACAGAGCACTTCACTCTCTGCTGCAGTTTCCAAAAGCAAAATGGGAAGCAGAATCTTCAACTTTCAGGCTCGTCTGCTGTGGAATCAGTTCCCAGTTTGGTTTCCACCCTCTCTACTTTTAAGATCAGGCTTAAAACTTTCTTTGTTGATAAAGATCATGGGACCTTGGTTATGCTGCTTCAGGCCTTGAGATGACTTACGTTGTGAACTGACACTATATAAATAAATAAAACTGAATTGATTTGAATTAAATGTGAAGCAACAGGCAGCTGCCAGATAACCTAGCTTAGCATTAAGACTTCCCTGGCTCTGTCCAAAAGGAAGAAAATCCACCTTCAACAGACTATAACTGCTTTGCCGATGACTGAATAGTCCCACCCCCGATACCTTTCATCATTTATCATCTACACAACCTTCCTGTCATTTCTCATGCACACAAATGAATCCAAATCTTTGAATAAGAACTAAATGACTATAAACACTTGATTTCCAAATGAGTAAGAGCGTGTGCTTTTCCAGTAATTTCCAGACCCAGAGGGCTTTTCGGTGGATCTTGCTGCTTTTGGAGAGAGTCGGAATAACTGTTTACTGCTGTTTTCAGTCATTGTTATGCTAAGCTAACTGGCTGCAGTCTAGTCCTTAAACAGATCAGAGAGTGCCAAACGTCTCCCGCAAGAAAGTGAAAGAGCTGTTTTCCAAAATATCGAACTAATCCTTAAAACCATCTGAAAACATGTGTCAAAGCGAGAGGCCGATACGGGACCAGACAGCAAAGTGTATTGATGATAACTGTTGAAAGGAGTTTTTGTTTGTTTTCCGGCTACTTTAAGCGACTTCTCGGTCCAAATCGTTCTCTCTTATCTGATTTTTGTTACTTTGGCTCATCAAGAATTTCTATTCTCCTGACATCCATTAACCATCATCATCATCATCATCATCATCATCAGTCTACTGTGGTTCTGTTGAATGTGCAGCACTCACCCAGGTTTTCTCCTCCCCACACATCCATCATCATGTCATACTTCCCCAGCTGCTCAAAGTATTCCTTATCCATGACAAACAGACCTCCTGCGATCATCGGAGTCCTGCAGGGGCGATGAGAATGGAGGGTTAGTCGTGTTTCAGGTGTGTATTAAGTGCTCATGAGCGACTCAGTGAAGTGTCTTCCTTACTTTATTGGGGCGATGGGGTTGCCTTGTCTGGCTCGTCTCTGCTCCAGAGTCATGTAGTCCCATTTAAACACCAAGTTCCAGTCAAAGCCTACCAACAAAAAACACACAGACACACAAGAAGAGCACAATTATAACCATTAGCTGGTATGAAGCAGCAGTGTCTGTCGTGTAATTAGATTTGGCAGGTTCATATTAGTTGACTGGCTACATCAGCAGCTGCCTGATTTCACATGTCTGGAAGTGTTTGAGTGTCAGCAGAGAGCCCTTCACCAAACCACCGACCACGCGGCTGCCAACGCATTTTACGAAGCTTAAATTTTAAATTACGCGTAGTCATTTGATTCATTATTAATGCAAAAAAATAAAAAATTACAGCAGATTTAGTGAGTAAAATGTTCAAAGATTAAACAAATAGATTTTTTTTCTTTTGTTACAAACAGTTGTCTGTTTCCAGTGTGCAGTGCATTGTGGGTAAGCAGCGTCCACAGTTTAGATCACACTAGACAAACAATTTACTCTGTACATTAACATCCAGACGAGTGACAAATTAAAGGAAAAATGACAAACACATCGAATGCTTCCACACAGGTGTCCTGCGTGGTTCCAGTTAACATTTAATCATGTTCTGGAGCACGGATAAAACCACAGAGCAGGTCCAGATGATCCTGATTTTGTAGGAGGCACAGTCACAAAGACGGCTCAACGTTTAACAGTAGTGACATCTGCATTCAGCTCTATGGGACATACATCAGCTAATGGGGTTTAAAATCGTGGTCGACGGCGCACGTTTGATGACTGCGACGCTTATGTGTTAGTGTAATATGCAAAGGAAAAACAGAAGAGCAACTCTTCCTCCGGGGACCGAGAATGTCAATGCAGGAAATAATCAGACTGTCAGCAAGAACAGTCAGTCGACAATTACATGGAGAGAGATATTACAGTAGGCTGCGGTGTGTAAACTCCTCATTACAAAGATGAAAGCACATCTGAGAGCTGAGTGGTGCAGAAATCATCCGTACTGGTCTACAGAGATGTGGAAGCAAGTTATATAGTCGGATGAATCATCCTTCACCATCTTTTAACAAGTGGATGACTGAATGTGTGGAAAGAACACAACACAGGTCTGAACGCTGAGGCGCCACAGTGAGGGGATCAGGGGGTATTTTGCTGACATGGTTTGGACCCACTTGTCCCGTTGGAGGGAAGAGTTACTGCAAAT